CCAGCTGTGTCCTCCTGGCATCTGCCCTCATCCCGCTCCGCCACGGGGCCGCTCTCAGCAGGAATAGGGCACGTTGTTTTGATTTTATTTATTTACCTTTCGCCGGGGAGAAGCTTTTTGACAAAAGGTTAAGAGTTTGGGTCACCCGACTTGATTTTGGGTGGGTGTTCTCCAAGGGTGGAGGGTGCTGGAGGCTTTGTGAGGGGTTTGCCCCAGTGGGATGGCGGGGTGGGGGCTCTGCTGGGGTGTTGTGCTGGTGGGCTGTGTCCTGACTGTGCTTTGGAAAGATGTCTTTGGAAGCTGGGCTGGAATCGCTGCTGAGGACTGGGCATGGGGCTGTGTACAACAAAGGGATGCTCCCAAAGTGAAGTCTTTGGGGTGGCCTAATTGTGGCCTTGCAGGACCTGAAGGGAGCTGACAGGAAAGATGGAGAGAGGCTGTTTACAAAGGCCTGGAGTGACAGGACAAGGGGGAATGGCTTCACGCTGACAAAGAGTAGGTTTAGATTGGATATCAGGAAGAAATTCCTCCCTGTGAGGGTGATGAGGCCCTGGCACAGGTGGCCCAGAGAAGCTGTGGCTACCCCTGGATCCCTGGAAGTGTCCAAGGCCAGGTTGGACGAGGCTTGGAGCAACCTGGGCTAGTGGAAGGTGTCCCTGCCTGTGGCAGAGGGTTGGAATGAGATGATATTTAAGGTCCCTTCCAACTCAGACCATCCTGTGATGCCTGGAAGTGTTCAAGGCCAGGTTAGATGGAGCTCTGAGCCACCTGTTCTAGTGGAAGGTGTCCCTGTCCACAGCAGGGGAGTTGGAGCTGGATGGTCTTGAAGGTCCCTCCCAACCCAGGCCATTTTATGATTGTGTATGACATGTTATTCAAACACTTGAGAGCTGCTCCTGGTTGCTCCAGGTGGAGCTCAGTTACCTGGAGAAGCACATCCAGAGTCACCTGGTGCCACAAGCTCCCTTCTGCTCTGCCTGTGGATCCACACACACACCCCCAGCCCACCCTGAGCACGCTGGAGTATCTGCTCCTCTCCAGCTCACACTGCTCTGAGGGTAGGGATGGCAACATTCTACTCTCAAACCAGCTGGAGGCTTGGATGCCAGCTGGGAAAGCAGCTCCAAGCCTGGCAGTGAAATGTTCCCTGTGCCAGCCCGTGCCTCGTCGTCACACCAGCGAATGGCACAGTGGCTGAGTTTGGTGGCAGGAGCTGGCCGAGCTCTTACAGGTTAAACTCAGCTCCTGGACAAACAAACTCAGGGCCTGGGGCTGCACACACAGAGCAAACACCAGTGGCACTGGTGGGCTGAAATGGGGCTGTTCCTCCTGCTCCTGGCAAGCAGAACTTTGCCTCCCGAGCGCCTGGTTTTGGGCTGTTCCAGAGGAGGCCTCTCCTCCTGAAAGGCAGGCTGTGGGGCTGGAAAACGAGAGGTTTGGAGGAGCTGTTAGTTGTGGGATAGGCTGTTGCTTTTCAGATAGTGTCCCTGGTTAAGGAGAAGAGCCCTGCTGGGAATGGATAAGGTTCTTCCGAGGGTTTGTGTTTTATCTGCCGTGCAGAGGGTGCTGCTCAAGTTTATCTCTGCACAGCTCTCCTTGCTCTAATTATGCATCACTGAACCATTGCTTCAAGGTGGGGCTGCTTTTACGCTTTTAAGGATGTTTTAGAATATTTTTTCCCCCACCCCTTGATGTTATGTTTTTCCCTAAGAGGGATTTCCCCTTCCCCCACTCAAAAGGAAAAACAAACAGGGTTATAATTATGGGCTTTTTTCAGTATTCTCGGACCATCTCTTTTTAAGAATTCAATTCTAGAACACGCAGTTTTAAGAAGGTTTAAATTCTCTTTGGTCATTGAATTTATTACCTGAGTGAAAACCCAAAGCAGAGCTGAGACTTTCCCTCTAGGCACAGAAAGGGGGTGGATAAAGGCAATTCAGTTTTGCTTCTTGGTCTGAACAGGCCAGATCTGTCCCAAAATCAGGCACGTCATCCGTGGGGTTTGGAGTGAGAGATGCTTTTAGCTGCCGTGTACAATGCATGAAGAAGAAAAAGGGAGAGGATGGAGTTCAGCATCCACTGGAGAGGTGTAAAATGTCCTTACAGATGACATTCCTGGTGAATGGGTATGATTCCATGGCCTGTGTGTTTGAAATCCTGCTGGGAGAGCTTTGCAGCTTAGAGATAATGGTGGTGGCTCACTCCTGCTCACCCACTGGATCGCTTTGTCTGCTTAATGTTATTTATTTGCTTATCTGGTGCTGATGAAATTTCATCGGCCCTATTGTAATGGGTTTAAATCTTAGCCCTGCCAGGCCTCGGAGGGCAGGCTGTAGGGAATGATTCCCAGTGCCTTGGGAGAAAGGCATCTGTTGAGTGGACATTTCTGCAGCTAAAAGATGCTGTGGGAACCGTGTGGGAGCAGGATCACAGAATCATAAAATGGTTTGGGTTGGGAGGGACCTTAAAGATCGTCCATCCCCACCCCCTGCCACGGGCAGGGACACCTTCCACCAGCCCAGGTTGCTCCAACCTGGCCTTGGACACTTCCAGGGATCCAGGGGCAGCCACAGCTTCTCTGGGCAACCTGTGCTCCTCTGCTGCAGGACATTGTGCTTCATCTGCTGGGAGATGCTCCTGCTCTCCTGTGGCAAGCCCAGACATCATCCCCCAAAATCACTGTGTCCAAACGAAAGAGCACCCAGGGCGTTTCAGAAGCTGCAGCTGGGTTTGGGGGGCTCTCAGGGTCCCACTGAGTGGTTTTTTTTGATGGATCTTTGTGCCTTTCAGTCATGTTTTTTTTGCCTCGTGGCAGAAAGGCAGCTCTTTCTCTCTCACCTCTGAAAAATTAATGTCTGCATCCTGCCAAGCCCACCCCGGCTCGGAGGCAGCTGAATCCTGCTTGGAGCACAGTTGGGAGCAGGGGCTGGGCCCGAGCAGCACAGGCAGATGATAACAGGATCACCTGCTTCCCTGCACAACACCCAAGCCATTCCTTTGTGCTGGAAAGCCCTGGCACTGGGCAGGACAGCGGGAAGCACTGACAGCCTTTGCTGAATCACGGCCGCTGCTGCAGTGCCAGGGCTGCACCCCTGCTGGATGTCGTGTTCCCAGGAAAAAGGGAAGGCCTTCCCTGTGCTGGGTGCTGTCCATGGAGGCAGCAGATAAACCTCTGGCAGGTTATGTGAGCTCACTAGGTGTCTCTGGATGGTGTCCCTGGAAATTCTTGTCCAGAGGCAAGAAAGGACTAAAGTGTGCCTTTCCAGGGAGGTTGGGGGAGACACTGACTGCTCTTCTCCAAAAAAAAAAAAAAACCAAACGTGGGAGGAAGAGAGGGAAGGAGGCAGAGTAAGGAGACAGCCTCATCTAAATGCAGCACAGCAGATTTGAGAGTGGTTTGCTCTGGGGGAGCAGTTGGGAAGCAGAGATGTTGATGTCTGCGGATGAGTAGTGAAGGAGGTAACTGCGAGGGGATCACCAGTGGTGAGGGAGGGTGGAAACTGCTTCTGCCATCCACATTTCCCTGCCAACAGACAGGGCAGTGCACTGGGAAAACTGCTGCACCCAGTCCCAGGTGTGTGTTTGGGGCAGTGAGGTAATTTTTGTGTGTGTACACACAAACCCGGCAGAGCAGCACATTTGTGTGTCGTTTTACACTCCTGTTTGTGCAAAAATTGCTGTTGTGGCCCCTACACCAGGTTTAACACCACATTTTAGTGTTTCAGTGCTAAATAGACCTGTAAATAATATCAAGCATCAGCCAGATGAGGCCAGGATATAATCAATATGATCCTTTGAGCTCTGGGAGGAGAGCAACCATATGTCTAAATAATTAGGGTCCAGCATTTTTGGGACAAAAACTAGATACTTAATTCTTTCCTATTTTACCCCCCCATCTTTATGGGTTCTTTTTAGGGAAAGTTCTTGAACTTCCTTAGTACAGTTCTGTCAGATGGCTTTGTATCTGTCTGAGGCAGAAATTAAATTGCAGAGTCATCTTGCTAAGGCTTAAAAAAGCTGGGTGAGAGATCTGGTTACTGGCTCTGGAGTTTCTCTGGTGTGGTTCCATATATCCAGTTAATTTATTGCCAGCAGACAAAACCCACGAGTTTCTTCCTTGCTCCTGGTAACCTGAGCTTTGTTGCTGGATTCGTTAGCTTCTGATGGTCATGGCAAACATATGATCACACTAATAGCTGATTATTAATCACTGCCAGTGGCTGTAATTATATCAGCTATTAGGAAGTCAGCTAAAAGCACTGTCTGTCCAACCAGCACGGAGAGCAGGGAGAAACACAGCCCCTGCCTCAGGGAGCAGATAATGGTTGTTGGCAACTTCATTTCCTGTGGTAGATCGATGCACTTTAGAAAAATGACTCTGAGTTTTGGCACCTTCCTGCTCCCACCCCGGTTGTCCAGCCCTGTGTGCTTTGCTCTGCACTGTGGTGTGGCTTTCTGAGCCCTGCAAGAAGGATTTGGGGTTAAATCCTGCTGTTGTGCTGTCCCCTCAGAGCCACAGCCAAGCGAGACCCTCTCCTCTAAGAGTCCCTGGTCCAAATCCATCTCTGGAAAGTCCTGGTTTGCCCCTGTGTGTCACTTTTGGATGGCTTTTAGGATGATGAGTGTGTTGTGATAGCTGTATATCCCTGCTGAGTGCATCCACAGGGGTGGAAAGCATCCCTTCCCACGCCAGCCTCACACCTCACCAGCAGACACTGCTGCTGAGAGACTGGTTAAACTGGGAAATGCAGAGTTTTGAGCACCAGAGGCACACCTACAACTTACCCTGCTGCTCCCAGTGATCTCCTGGGACAGCGTGGTGGCTGAGCAGTGTCCTGTGTGCACCAGGATGGAAATTTGGCTTGGCACATCCTAAATACCCGTGGAATTCGGATGCAGCTGGGCAGAAGTTATGAGGGATGCAGTGACTGGCACGCATTTCCCTTGAGCAGGAACACTTAAACCTTTCCTTTGCTCTCCTGTTGTGCCAGGTTTTGCCTAATGGCTGCTTGTTTTTTACTCTCATCAGGAACCTTTGCTGAGAGGTAGCGGAGCAGCCTCAGGACATCACCATGATGGAGGATCACGCACCTGGCCAGGAAAAACACTTCTCCTCAGGTGAGCACGCCCAGGAGATGGTGAAAGGACCTGCCTTGCCCACTGCTGATCTAAGCAGGGGGAGTGGGAACAGCGTGGTGGTGCCAGGGGTCCTTGGGGACAGCCAGGAGAGGGAATATGTGTGTGGAAGGATGGATCATCTGGCTGCAGCCAGAAGATACTCCAGCATTTACAGTCTTAGGAAAATGCTGCTCTGGGTTATCATTGCCCAGCAGCAGCAGAATAACCCCTGGTACCCAGGCTAGGGAGGATCTTACTGCTGCAGCTTTGCGACTGTGTGTTTGTGTTCACTCCTCGGTTTGCTCTAAAAACACAGCACTGCTTTTATTTGGGGTCACAGCTCGAGGATGCTGCTTGCTGCCTGCTTCCCTCACCTGCACAGGGACCTGGGGACAACTGAACAGAGAGAGCTCTGGGAGCGGGGGCCATGCCAGAGTCTTCCTCCCCATATTTCAGACCTGCATTTCTCCAGAGGCCTTTCCTTTCTCATTCCACCGCGTTCCACAATCGAGCTTGGAAACGCTCACAGCACTCACAAACCTGGTGGGACTCACTCCTGGCCACGCTGCACATAAACATCATCTTTAATTTTCTTTTCTTGAGGTGCTTTGGACACCCCTTACATAAATGGATTGCCTCTGCCCTGGAGAGAACCCACAGCATCCATTCATCCCGGGCTCTGTAATGCATTGCAGGCCGACAGCTCCTCTCAGCTTGTTTTGCTCATCAGCTTCCCAGGGATTTTGCTTCTTCTTTCCTAAGTCAGTTTTTCCAGCTCTCATTATTTGATTTGCCTCGACCCTTTGCTGAGAGGAGACTTGTGCCTCTTGCCCTGCTCTTCCAAAAGACTTTTGCCACCACCTCTTGGCCCAGCTTGTTGTCCTGCACTGATCCTGGGCTGGTTTGCAGTCGTGGGAGTGCTCTGGGAGGGAGCTGAGGGCCCCAGAGAGGACAACAGTGACTCAGGAGCTGCACATCTTTCCTCCTTACGTTGCTACGATCTCCTTGCCTGCTCCTGCCATGCTTTGCTGTTTCTGCCTGTCCGGTTCACTGGGCTTTTCTTTTGCTGATGGGTTTCCGCTTGTCCCTTTTGGTGATGACACCGGTGCTTTTGGTTGGCATTTTCACGCTTTGCTTGCTTTTAGTTCGGGTGGTTTTCCCTCTCCAGTCACGGTCTCTTGCTGCTGTGGGTCTGGGCGATCAGAGTTGGTAACACACAGGCCCTAATCCGTAGCCAAGGACTCGTTGTAAGTATTTGAATGTTTTCCAGGCTATCCCCTTCAGATACCAGTCGATGATGGATCGGATGAGCCTGTTTCCGAAACATCTGACGCTAAGAGCACCCCAACTACAGAAGGTGGGAGCTCTTTGACTTACTGCTTTGAAACCATGATGGACGGGGTCGTGGTAAATCCTCGCCCAAAGGAACTCGCCGTGCCGTGTCCTGGTGGGGTTTCTCTTGGAAAAAAGCTCTTCCTTAGTCTCATCACTCAGGGATGTTTGCCGTGCTGCGGAATGAGATAATGAGCTCTGAAGGTGGGCTGGAAGGCAAGAGAAGGTGAAGTGTTTGTCACAGCTCAGGGTTTGTTTCCTGCGGATTTTTTACGAGGTTTTGTGACACAGGTTTGTGTCGCTGTGCTCCCCCAAGCACTGGCAGCAGGTCCTGTTTGCTGAGTTCCCTTCTGGAGCCAGCTGGTTTTTGTTGCCCCCTCTGTGTGTTCATTAGTACAGTGAGATTCCTGCTGGAATGATGAGCTGGGCAGGCTCCCTACATAAAACCAAACTTCATGCTGATGGGAAGGTTGTGGTTGTAGGACTCAAGCCGTGCCTGTGATGCTCTGGAGTGTTACCTGGTTGTCATGTTTGTAGAAAGAAACTCATTCCAAAGTGGTCCAGAGACTTGTTCACCATTTCAATTAACTGCACCTCGTGTGTTCCTCGGGTGTTTTAATCCCAAGTATCTGCCTTTGGAGACTTCAGGTAAAGCTGTTAGCTTGCAAAATTGGTCTAAAAGAAAGGAGAGGTGGACAGAGATGCTGAGCAGTCCCAGCCCTGCCCTGCTGGAGGTGTGGGTTGTCTGATTGTGAAGTGGCTCAGGAAATCAGGATGTAAAAGCTGGCTGGTGCAGGAGGGGATACCACCCCTCTTTCCCGTTGGATTGGTACTGTCAGGAGGAGCAGACATCCCTGTGGTAGATGGAGCCAGGTGTCTGTCTGTGTATCCCAGAGCTGCCCAGAGTGCTGGGATGGTTTGTGAAGGTATCCCCTGGGAGCTGCTCTGCTCCAGACCAATGATGTCCCAGTGCAGGCAGCATCGCTGTGCGCGTGGATCAGGCACCAGTGGCTGCTTTTGGCTGTGGATTTTCGGATAGAGCTTATGGCAAAGCCTTCAGAAGCATAAGGAGTGTGCTGTGGCACTTTGTGTGGCAGAGGGGCAGCTCGTGGTGTCCCCATGATACTGGGTTTGCTGTGTCATGCTTGGTTTGTCCCCCTCCACGAGCTCCACTGGCTGAAGGGAGGGAGTCGAGTGCTTCTCTGAGCAAAAAGGTTCTTCTGGCACGTCCTGGCCTCCACAGGGCTCTGCCACCCGACAGGTGTGTGAAAGCTGCGTTGTTTTTCAGATGCCACAGCACCTTTAGTGGAGGAAGGAGACCACGAGGATCAGGGTGGTGTGGAACAGCACGGGGAGATCCCAGAAGGAACCACAGGTGAGGGAGACCAAGGTGCAGTTCCACCTTTGATGCAGACAGAGCAGAGAGAGCTGGACTGGTTAGTGCTGTGAGGTGACACCATGGAACCTCTCGCAGGGACGCTTTGCTCCTGACGCTGCTTCTTCCTTCTCTCCAAAAAATTCCCGGCTTACAGTTGTCCTCTTGCCTTCCCCATCCCGAGGGAAACTCTCAGCTTTCTCTTCTCCTTTCTCAGCTCCGCATCTGACAATCTTTTCTGGGGTGGCTTTGCCTCCCACCTTCAGGCTGAGCAGATCCGGGTGGTTCCAGCCCCTCTTTTCCAGCAGCCCCTCATCCCGCTCTCTGCAGGCCCTCAGTGCCCGTCCCGGAGCCCTCGCGGGTGTCTTTGGAGTGGCAGGTGAAAACCAGGCCACTGCAGCAGTGCTTTTAAGGATAATGCAGAGGAAATGAAGTGGCTAATTCAGCCTGAATGGCCTGTGGGGAATCACTGCACCTGGGCCTGGTTTTCCAAAGGAGGGATGGTGCCTTCCAGAGGCAGAGCAGGGAGTGACTGCAGCGGTGCTGTGTGGGTGGGAGAGGGCAGGAGATGTGGGGAGGGACAGGTCTGCGTGTGGAGAACGAGTATGTGTCCTCTGTGCCATAGCCAGTGGCTTTTCCTGGGAGCATCAGGCAGGACCTGAGAAAGGCAGCGGGTGGAAAAGGGTTTCTGGTAATGCCAAACACTGAAACACACCCACAGCAGTGAAATCCATCTGCCTCCAGTCCCCACGCTGCTGGTGGAGCCCTGGGAATGGGACACAAAGTGCTTGCAAGGATGTGCAGACCCTGGTGCAAGACCTGACTGTACCAGGGAGCCAGTGTGTGCTGAGCTCCTGGGAAAAAAAAAATACAGGGAAACAGAGGAAGTTCTGGTTGGACCAGAGAATGTGACATGCAGGTATAAGTGTTTAAGCTGGTCTGAAAGTACTCATAGAATAAATTGGAAAAATCTTGAGAGAGGCAAACCGTGATCGCTGTGAAGAAGACTGTGCTTCTCTGCTGTTCCAGTATTCCTGAAGTGTCAGATTTATATCAGGCTTGGAATTACTGGTCTCACACAGCCTTGACAGGGTTCATTGTGGTGAGGTGGGCAGTAGACACCAAGAAGGTGGGCTCAGGTAAGAGACATCTGTGTGAGTGCTGCTGGCTTCATAAAGGGTAGGTGGGGGTAGAAGAGGGGATATAGATCCACAAGTGTCCTTGCTCCTTAATAACCTGTTTCCTGCCTGAAAGAGCTTGTACTAACCTGCCATGTAGGATGTGTGAGTTGGTGGAACACTCCTCCTGTCTGGTACAGCACAGGCTGAGCAGATCTATCCAGACCCATCATCGCTGTGGAGTGATTTCCTTTCTGATCCTGCCCTGCTCATGACACAGCAGAGATCATGCCCAGTCTGATGGGCAGCATCAGAAGGGAGGCAAATAAATTCTCCAGGCACACACTTCAATTTAACTCTTGTTTTGATCCTGTTTTTCCCCTTGTTCCTCTGACCTGGGAGCAGCTGAAGAGGCGGGCGTAGGAGCCACTCCCAACCTGGAGGACCACGCTGCAGGAGATGACACTCAAGGTGGGTGAATCATCTGTCCCTGGGTCCAGTTATCGCTGCCCACGTGGTTGCTGGTGGCTTGGGAATTTTGTTCTGTGATGAAATGCTCTGCACACTGCGCAGCAGTTCTCGTGCAGTTCTCCCTCTTCCCGACAGGGAAGGGTCGTCCACGCTTGGAATGTTCAGACATACCCATTTCAGGTGACTGCAGCTTCTCATGCACCACATTTCTCTCTCAGAAGGCCAGAGCCATGGTGCTTGTTTGTCCAGTTGCAAAACCAGGGCATTGTCCAGGCTGGAAAAGCTGATGGACAGAGCTGGGATGTTGTGCCATGACCAGGAGGAACTGCTCACGCTGAACAGAGGCAGTGTGGGCCCTGCATGTCACGCATGAGATCGGTGAATTGTTTAGTTGCCGTGTCATTGTAATGTAAAACATGTTTCAAACCTACTCACTGACGCCCTGACTTCAGCATTAAGGGTTGGTTTTCCTCATCCCAGTCTTAGGGAAGTGGCCAAGTCAGACATAGTGGGCAGCAAGTGCTTTCAGAGCATTAATTGTGTCTGCTCAGATGAGCCAAGGATTATCCAGGATGTCTTGGCTACCTGGAAAGCCTCTCTTGACTCTGCTCTGTTCAGACATGATGGAAAACTTCAGGATGGGGTTTTCCCAAAGCACCCAGTGCTGGCTTAATTCCATGCCCACCGGGGCAGAGTTAGGGATTCAGACTCCCCGTGATGTTGCTGTGTTGCCTCCACACCACAGCCCTAATTTGCTGTTTGAACTCTCGGTGAAACTCCATTTTCTGAGACAGTTTTCTGCACAGTGAACACAACAAACCCCTCTGGTTGGGCAGGGTCTCTTCCTCATGGCTCCATTAGTGCATTTAGACATCCATGTCTTTCACAGGAGTAAATAGGTCTTTGCCTTCTCAACTCAGGGCAGAATGCAGCTTGTCTTTGCTCTCCACAGCTCTGTCCACCCTGCTCCCTGCAGTTAAAACAGAACCTTTGCTTGCCTGGCCAGTGGATTTTGGACTGGCTGCTCTTCTGTATTTGAAGTAGTGGTGCCATTATAAAATAGCAATCAGGACTTATCAGGAGGGGGGTGAAGTTCCCTCTTCTCTCTCCGCTGGTTTTAGTGCTGTTTCTCACCAGATTTTTGCTGAGACCTCTCTGTCCTGTCCTGGGGTCTTTGAGCTGTCAGATATGGAGCCACACAGCGAGTTGGAGCTCTGACTAAACCTATACATGGCATTTCTAGGTTCTTTGTAAATTGTTCCATCTCTTAAAGTGGGCTTTTAATAATGTCCTGCTTCCTTTTAATGGTTCTCTTTGATTCAGAGGAAAATGTGGTTATTGACACGCAGAGCCTTGGGTGTCTCATTGGTACCTACCTGATGTGGGGGTTTAAAAAAAAAATACAGTGTTTGTAGTGCAGATGGAGCATCTTAAAATGCTTTTGGAGTCTCAGGTGGGGGAGAAGCATCCTCTGATTCCCAGTTTGGCATTGACCCTGTGCTGCAGATTTGCCTCAAAAAAAAAAAAAAAAACCAACCCTGGAAAATCCTGGAATTTGGAAGCACAGCTCATGAACTGCCTGTCCACGTCCCTGCACTGCTGCTCATTAGTGGTCACGATGTTCCTTTGCAGAAGAAACGAGCCAGGTTGTCCTGCTGGCTGCTGCGTGAGCACTTCAAATCCCCCTGATTATAAAAGGTGTTTCTTGATGCCATATTTCAAATATTGCCTTCCAGTAGGGGCCAAGTGAAGATTTCTTTTAAACCACAGTTTCCAAGGTGTCTGCGTGGTGGTTTCACTTAAACCATGATATTCCCTTAAAAAAGGGGAGGATGTCGACGAAAGATCAAATCAGTCTTGACTTCATCTTTTCTTGTTTTGGTCTTGTTTGTTCATCTGCCAAAGCCACAGTTGTGATCTCAGTACTGCAGGGCCCTTTGGTTTACCTGAGCAGTGCTCAAAAAAGACCTAAGAGTCTTTGAGGCTGGGCAAATTCATAGTACAGCAGGCACATTCTTACCGGGACAGTTGACTTTAAAGCAGTTTACCTCTGTCCAGGTGAATTCTCCATTGTTCAGTGCATCTTTGCTTCAGCTGAATGAATTTCCAACAGAAAAAGCTCCAGCTTGAGTGGGATATATCACTTAACTCTGATGAGTCTCAGTCCAAAATCACTACAACTTCATTTTTCCTCCCAGCCCTTTCCCCGTGGCTGCTGCTCTGCTGGATGATGAAATAAATAAGAGAGGAGACGTGGGGAGTGCTCTTCTCCACGCCTATGGGCAGCTGGAATGACCTGGAGAGCAGAGCAGGGATGGTTTGAGCTCTGACAGGTGCTGTGTGTGCCTGAACATCTCCCGAAGGGGATTTTGTGAGCCCAGGGAGGAGGGGAAGGGTCTGACCTGTTTTGTTCAGGCCCTTGAGGCAGGAAGAGGTGAGCACTGACCAGCAATCCCACGGTCCTGTGGTGGTGTTAGGTTGGAAAATGGGCATGTTCTTGGCTTCTGGAAATTTCTACAGCTGAGCCAGCTCGTGGAGTGCAGGTGTGGACCTGGACACCTCCAAGGTCAGGTCCAGGAAGGAATCTGGTCTCCCATGCACTGTGGCTGTCACTGTTTGTGATTCCCACGGGGAGTTTCTTTAAAGGCAGAAACCACTGTGGCAGCGAGCTGTCTGTTCAGTGGGGCGGTGTGGGACTTCCATTATCCTCTCAGCTGGCAGTAGAAATCCTCAGTCTCTCAGTGTCTCTGACTGTTTGACATGCCTGTGCTAATTTTTTGCCCCTGCTTCGTACCCCACGTCTTCAGCTCCAGGGGAGCCGAGCTCTCCAAAGCTCCAGCCCGGCCCTCAGGAGTGTGTGGGAGAGGCAGTGAAAGGAGAAAACCAACCCCCAAAGCAGGGACCTGGGGGCCTTCAGCAGCCACTCCTGTCACGTGAAACAAAGGCTCCAGCAGCTGCTCCCACCAGAATTGAGGTCACCATCCCAATCCCCCTGGACATGTACCAGGGCTCCAGAGCACCCGAGGACAGCAGTGAGTTGTGGGATCATGGAGGCAGAGAAGGCATCGGTGTGGAACCAGAGCTGGGTCGGGATGTGCTGGCAGGAGCAGGTGGCACAGGTGACCATAAGGATGGACCACCTCCTCTGTACACCAAAGCCCCACTGAAAGAAGATTCCAGTGGGCGGGAGAGGGATGAGGATCGTGATATTGATGAAACTTCCGAGCAGGAATTGCTGGTTTCACCAGGACCTGGCACACGTTCATGTCCAGCGACAGCCAAGGAGACTCTTCTTGAAGAACGTGATAGAGAAGAGTCCAAAGATGTCCCCAGAGACACCCCAAGAGAGGCACCTGTGGTTGAAACTCAGTCACAGAAAGCAGGAGAGGACCAAGAGGAGAAGGAAAAGCCATTGGGGGGTGAAGGAGGTACAGACGTCACCCCATCAGAGCCTTCTGAAATCACCCCCCAAAAAGAAGCTGAGCCCGGGGAGGGAGAAGATTCTGGACCCTTGCTAGAAACAGCCAAACTCCCTTCTGAGGTAAAAGGGGATGTGGAAGACAAAGATGCTGAGGTTGTGCCGGATACAGGAGAGTGTCAGACGCCCAAGAAGAAGCCCAGTGCCCTCTCTGCAGACAAAGCCAGCCGCGTCCCCCTCCTCAAAGGTGTGTGCTCCGTTTGCTGCCCTCGGCTCACCGGTGGCTGCCTCCCAACAAGGCTGCCCGATCCAGCACCGCAGCTTGCTGCCTCCTCGAGTCCTGCTGCTTGGAAATGGCCTGGACCTGCGCTGTGAACTGACCTCCACCGCGCCGCTGCTGCTCCCTCCCCGTCCTTCCCCCCCTTATTTAATCCGGGGTTGGACTCCCCAGACCCTCGCGCTTCGGTGTCGCGTCCCTTGCATGGCGCTGGCGTGTCCCCAGTCCTGCTTTTTTTTTTTTTTTTTTTAGTTTGATTTCTTTGGATCTGCTGGGTGGGGGCCTTGACTCCCACCTTGCACCTTCCCAGGGAAGATGAAGGCCGGATGGACGTGGTTCCGGCCTGCTGGAGCGGGGCTGACCTGGCGCAATCTGCGGCTCGTCCCGGCAGGACACGTCCCATCTGGTTTGCATGTCTGGTCCAATAACTCTTGGAATTGCCTTTCCTAAAGAGGAGGGAGGAGGAAAAAGGCAAGGATGGCAGGTCTAACCGTGGAGAAGCCCCGCGCTGATCCCTTTTCTTGTACTTTCCCCTTAAATATCCTGAGTGCTGCTGGAGGCGAGGCCTGCAGCCAGCTGGGCCTTTCCCCTCTGCCAGGCATGTCTATTGCTCTTCCAAAGCATCCTGCTCCAATCCCGGCTCTGGATGGGATGTCCCTGGGTGTTCCAGTATCTGGGGGGTTCAGTGGGAGCTGCCTGTGTGCGTGGAGGCATCTTACAACCTGTAGGGCTGGGCTGTTTTGGGTGAGGGTTTGAGTTCACCGCTGAATGCACGAGCATCCCTTAGACTCTTCCTTACTCCAAAGCTGTTTTCCACCCCTCCTGAGGCTCAGGAATGTCACTGGAGGCCCTGCTCAGTGTCCAGTTGCAGGTTTTGTCACGAGTTGTGCTAACACAGCAGGACACACGCTGGTGTCTCAGAGCGTTGTGCCTCAGCTCTGGCTGCTCAGGGTCTATCCTGGGGGAAGCTCTGCCTTTTCCCGCAGTTCCTCATCCCAAAAGCTGCCTTGGCTGCCTCCATTATCCTGGGAATGCTGCTCTGGTTTGTGGCAGGCAGAACGTGCTCTTTGCTGCGTGGGGCTCAGGAAGAAATTGTTGATGGAGCTTTTTCCACTGGAGCTAAAGCTCATAACATATTTCTCGTTGTTCCCTATGGAATCGGCAGTGGGAAGCTTCCCACGTGTGCTGCAGGGCACGGGCATGGCTTGCACTGGAGCCTGGAATGATGGTGGGGTGGGGGTGCATTGCCCAGAGCCAACCAGCTTCTGATTCAGTAGGAGAAATTCAATTATTTAATGGTCTTTCCCTTCAAAGACACAGATACTCCGTGGCTGTTCAGCTCCAGCCTTGCTCCAATCTGCAGAGTAACTGAATTTGGGAGGGGAGGTGCCTCCAGTAGCTCTGGGATTGGGCCAGTGTTGGATTAACAGCATTGCCCACGTCACCAGGAAAGGGCTGACCCCCCAGGACAAGTTTCCAAACACTGGGAAAAATATCTGCAGCTTTTCCTCCCAGACTGGGGAGGAATCAGCTGAAGACAGGGAAAAAAGGGCTCTGTTATGAGTGCCTTGTACTACAAACAGTACTTCCTCCCCATTTTTAATCTCCTAATTAGACTGACCCAGGTGGAAGGGGCACTGTGCTGGGAGGCAGAGAGCAGTGTGTCAGGAGAGATGGGAATTAACAACATCCAGGGATAAAAGTGCTCTGCAAAGCCAGCACTCTGAACAGCCACCTTAAATGAGGTCACGGTGCTGCTGGATCGGGGCGTCCTTTGGTTTGAGTCTTTATTTATATAATTGCTGGAACCAGTGGGTGTTTTGGAGAGGGAGACTCGTTGAAGGGAACTTTCTGTCCTGAACTGGACGGATCCTGCTGGATCTGGGTGCGGATCTGGGTGAAATGCTCTCACAGAACCCTCGCTGGTGTGTCTGCTCTGGGTGATGACTAACACGGCATCATCTGTTAACCCAGAAAGAATGTGTTTACCATGTGGAAGGATTTCTGCAAGAAATGGTGACTTTGTAGTATAGTTCTAGGAATAGATTGTAGTTCAAGGCAGAGCAGGGACAGGGAACAACCCTCAGCACGTGTGTTGTCATCTCTCTGGAGCTCGTGACCAGTCCCAAGAAGTGTAACTGTTGTGTTTCCCTTTGTCAGGTCGTGTTGACAAGGAAGGGACCGAAGCTGATGAAAAGAAACCCAAGGTGAGCTAAAAAATAAAGCCAGAGGTGACACCTGTGCATGTTCCTGGCTGCTCTCCTGCTCTCCTGGCCTGCAGTTGTGCCTCTTAGGAAACCTTCCCCATTCCCTTCCATTCTTCCATTTGTTTTTCAACAGTGGTTTTATTTTTTTCTTCCCTCATGCTGGTTTGGATGGTGCAATCCAAGGGGTTCTTTGAGGGTGAGGAAATGATCCAAATCAAACACGTGGCTCAAGGGGGTTGGGTGTGGGGTTGGAGAAATCATTTTCTCAGCCCAGCACTGGAAAGCAGCAGCTGCCTTTGGGACAGACTCAAGACTGTACTGGGGACGAGGAGTACGACAGTGAAGAGAGCAAAACATGTAATTAAAACATTAAATTGAATAATCCAGGCCTTGCAGATCATAGAATATCCTGAGTTGGAAGGGGCCAACAGGGATCATCAACAGAGTTTAAGATTGCAGAGGTTTAACGGTGTCTGTCACGCTGGTGATTTGGAGGAGGTTCAGTTCATCCGGCCATTAGCTTGGTTAGTGCCTGAGGGGGATGATGGACAAGCTGAGGGGCAGTTTAAGGGGTGAGGAGTAGAATTATTTGCAAGCAGCGTGAAATTGGGTTTTTCTCTAGGGAAGCGTGGCAGGGTCGTATCAGGCCGGGCGTTAGACTTGGTACCAAGCCTGGATAAAACCAGTGGTGTGTCTTTGGCAGAGCAGGTGGGATGGGGTTGAGGGACCTGGGAGCAGCCACCTGCATCTCTCAGAAGCGTTGGTGTTGGTAGTGCTGTTCCTTTGCCAGGAAGGAGGAGGGTTTGGGATTGAACTGAGGGTTCTGAGGGTGAAATGTGCCCCTGGTGTGGAAGGGCAGAAGCAAGGACAGGCTGTCACAGGGTGACACCGTCCCCAGGAAGGGGCTCAGGTGTCACTACACCCTGTGGAAGGAATAGCTGGGGTATCCCATACCTGCTGGAGCAGCCATGGGGCCCTGGCAGTGCCACCTAACACCCACCCCACACCCAGCTCCGCATTGCACCTTCTAATCCTATTTTACGTTGCTGATCCCATTTTCGTTTCCCTCCCCGTGCTGATTTTTGTTTTGTTCCCGTTTTATTTTGTTTCCACGTTTTAAAGAAGTCCTCACCTTCCACTGCCAAACCCCCAGGGGACAGACCCTCCATCCCCCCCCACCGACACACCTCCTCTAGCACAGCCCCTTCGAAACCACCCTCCAGCCCTGCTTCCGCCTCTAAGCGAGTCTCTCCTGCCACATCCCGACCTGCCAGTACAGGAACGCCAGAAATGAAAGCCAAGGTAAGGAAATGGGATGTGAGAGAGGCCAAGGGGAATACCTTAAAGCATTCCTGAGGGATGGTGCTTGGCTGAGTCTCTCCCTGCTGTCCCGTGGAGAGGGTGGGATGTGCTTCACCTTCCCCGTGGCCACGGCCAGGTTTGGCTCCAGTTTTGGTGCTGGAAGGAAGCAGCACGTGGAGCAAAAATAGCTCCTTGCTGCAGGGTGTTACCTGGTCTCCTTGAGGTGTTTCCACAGATCCCTTTAAGCTCTTCCCTGTTTTGCAGCTTTATCTGTGTTTGACAGGAGCATTGGCAGGAAAACAGCAGATGTGTTTGCAGTGTTCCACAGCCAGGCCTGCCAGGTGCTGCTGTAGGAAACACACACATATCCGTGGCTGTTTTCCCTTTGTTGTGTTTGCTCACCCAGATAACACCTGTGGGGAGGGAAAGCACAGGGATTGCAGGTCACGTAGGATCAGAGAATCCCACAATGGTTTGGGTTGGAAGGGATCTTAAAGCTCATCCAATCCCACTCCCTGCCATGGGCAGGGACACCTTCCACTAACTAGCCCAGGTTGCCCCAAACCTCATCCAACCTGGCCTTGGACACTTCCAGGGATGGGGCAACCACACTTTTCTGGGCAACCTGTGCCACTCACAGATGATGGGATGTGGTTTTACTGGTTCTGCTCTGCCTCCCTCCAGCCTTGAGACCAGTCAGCCTGTAAATTTTCAGTTCTGTGTTTTCCGTGAGCTTTTTACACTGACCAGCACTAAGGAGTCACCAGAAAGAGGATGTGTGAGTTCAGAGCTTTGGGAAGGATTTCTGCAGGACCAGGAGACCGTAGATAGGATATTGCAGTTTTAGCTGACATTACAGGCGATGCAGGTGTGACACTGGTGTACTGTAGGTGGGGATATCCCAGCGTTTGAAGCCTGGCACTCTACTCATGGATAAATTTATCTTCTGTCTGAAATTTTAGCAGAACAGGGGAAACAAAGTGGCGAAATTGAGAGAACAGTGGAGTTGAACGCACTCTTGAGTTTCTGTATCTTCTGTAACAATTTTAGCAGAACAGAGGAAACAAAGTGATGGAAGTTCAGAGAGCAGAGGAGTTTTGCATGCTAAACCAGGGGGGTGGTGAACGGTGCAGCTGAAGCCAAGGGAAAGGTCACAGCAACTCCACCAGCACAGGAGTGGCTGCAGCAGGTGCTGTTGTGGGAGGCAAGGTGAGAACCAGCACATTCCAGGTGTGGGGAACCCTGGTGTAGGAAGCAGTGTGGTTGGGGGCATGTCTCGTGTGCTCTGACCCAGGAGGGGTGACAGCCCATCCCTGACAGCCCCCCCCCCCTCGTGTCCCCAGGGCCCGGAGATGAGGGGTGGCACGAAGACGGGCACGCCGCGCTCGGGGCAGGCGCAGAGGAACTCCACCAACGCCACGCGCATCCCGGCAAAGACCCCCACGGCCCCCAAGACCCCCCCCAGCTCCGGTAGGTGGACGGTGGGAGCCGTGTGGGGATGGCCTCAGTGGTGCTCCCAAGCTCTCCAGGCAGCTCTGGGGGTGGCTGAGCTCTGCCAGGGGGTTGGGAACCGCTCAGCCCTCTCCTGGAGCTGGGATGAGCCCTCTGGAGTGAGCCTTTCCAGGTGCTGGCTCGGTTCGTACACGTGTAGGAGAGGGGGGCAGTTGCTTTATCCCTTTGGGATTCCCTCCAGTTTGGAAGATTTAGGCATCCCCTTTTTAATCCACCTACCGCTTTTCTCACTGACAATATTTCACTAAGACCAGGGGCAAGAGGATCAATTCTTCGATTGCAGGAATGGAGATTAGTCCCATTATTATTCTCAGAGAAGAAAACCCCCAGAAAGCATCAGGCATTGTGAATTTCCATTAAAATGGTGCATTTCACTGAATATATATATATTTCATACTTAACTGGAGCTCCATAAAACCTTAAATCAATTAATTTTCTGGCTTTATTATGTTTAAGCATCTTTCTCATTCACCAAACAGGCAGAAAGGAGCAGAAAAAACCACCTCCTGCAGCAGCAAAGACTGAGAAAGGTGATGTTTAAGGGTTTTCTCTTCTTCTTTCATTTGCTTTTCAAACTGGGGGACAGTTCTAAAGCTGCTCAGCAACCAGCCTTATTTAATTACAGAGAGAAAAAAAAATATGTGAAAATGCTTCCAAATTTCCGATAGGAAAGTGGTTTTGAGTGTCTTTTGTCTGTAATTCGTCATGCATGCCAATGCCACGCTCGGGTGGGGGGAGTTTTGACCATCTTCCTTCTGAGATGTCGGGAAATTGCCTTTAAATCACAGCCTTTCCTTCAAAACGGAGCAGAAGAAAGCGCGGCCGTGCACTGGGAATAGCGGGGTGGGCTCTGGGAGCGGGGGGGCACCGACCCCAGAAAGGCAGGGAGTGGGCAGGGAAGGGGGTGGTGTGTGCCCAGATTGCCCCCCCCCTGTGCTCACTCCCCGTCTGCAACCTCCAGGTGAGCAGCCAAAGTCTGGAGACAGAAGCGGTTACAGCAGTCCCGGCTCCCCCGGGACTCCAGGCAGCCGTTCCCGCACCCCCTCTCTGCCCACCCCACCAGCCAGGGAGCCCAAGAAGGTGGCAGTGGTTCGCACCCCACCGAAATCTCCGGCCTCTGCCAAGACCCGCATCCAGCCCTCGGCCGCGCCCATGCCCGACCTGAAAAACGTCAAGTCCAAAATTGGCTCCACTGAAAACCTGAAGCACCAGCCCGGAGGTGGCAAGGTAAAAACGTGGGCTCTGCTTCCCCAGGGGGGGCCTTGGCTGTGGGGACAGCGGGTGCTGGATGCTCCATCCGGGGTGGGAGAGCCTCCCTGGAGCAGCAGCAGCAGCAGCTGTGGGCGGTGGGCAGCCAAACATCAGCCTGATTATGAGTTTTGGGTTGATTGGGTTGGCCTGGAATTCCTTGCCTGGCTTATTAGCATAGCTCAGCTGTCCCACGGAGAGCTCGTGGTGTGGATCTCGTGGAGTGGCTTCCAGGGGAACGGCATTCCCTCGTGGTGTCCAGTTAGGGACAGATTGTCCAGTTAGGGACAGGAGGTTGTGACCTGCAGCCCTCAGGAGTGGCGGGATCAGGGTTGTGTTTGTGGATCCTACACCGTGACCGGAGCAGTCCCTCCATTAGTGAGCAGGAGGATGGGCTGTCTCTTCCTCCTGAGGGGCCCAGGCTCAGACCCCAAGTTTTTCCAGACACTGGGATTTTGGATCCAGCTCTGTTGGCAAGGTTTCGGGTTGTGTTCTGCCTTTGGGCGCTGTGTGGCTACGTGGGCAGTGTGGCATGGCCAGAACTGGTGGCACTTCTGTCCTTTCAACCACTTCTCACACCCAGAGAAGCTGTTTCACGAGCAGCAAAGTGACCTCCGTGTTGCAAGTGCTTGGGAATGAGGGTCTTGGGTTAAATTCTGCAAGCCTGGCAAGGGACACTGCGTGTCCCAGGGGTGACACTGCCTGTTCTGAGGGGACACTGCCTGCCCTGGGGGTGACACTGCCTGTCCCAGGGGTGACACTACCTGGCTCACAGACCTTGCAGAGCCATAACAAACCGTTCCCTGAGTGCTGTGCATGGCATTTTGTTTGTGTGACCTCCACGGCTCTGAATGTTCCCCTCTGGCGCAGGGGGGAGGCTTTGGGATGGCTCCTCTGCACCCCTTGAAATGGCAGCCTGCTTTTCCACGGCCTTCCCGGCGTTTTCTGCTGTGGCTGGAGATTTACTGGCTTTGTGCTACAATCCGGTGGGGCTCTGGAGCCTGGGCAGGGCTGTTGGTCATGAGCAGAGCAGCACGTGTCCTTTTTGGGGCCTCAGCTCTCCTGCCCACTTAGCACAAGTCATGGGATTTTCCTCCCACCCCCACAAACCCCGTTCTCACGGGATTTTAGAAGGAACCCTTCTGTTCACTGGAAATTGGTTAATTTATTCACTAGTTTCTTTTTAATCCGGCTTTTACAAGTTGTTGTTTTTTTTTTTCCCCTCTCTCTGCTTCTCTGTCAGACGTGTTTGTTGTTGTTACTGAAAGAGTGGGAGCAGCTGAATTTGGGAGAATTCCTTGCTCTTTGCAGGGGAGAATGGCTGGGTGCTCTGTTGGACACGGGGCTGCCCTCAACAGAATGGTTGCAGCTGGAGCAGAAGGGGCTGATCCCACCAGTTTGATTTTAGGCTGAAATCAGAAATGGGTTTTGGAGCCTGCTTTCCATGTAGATTCCAGAACCCCCAGCCTAGAGAAGCAAGGGAACATGGGGAAACACACACCAAGAGCCAGCCAAGCCACGTCTCTTCCAGTGTTTCTGCATGGTCTGAGCACTTCTGTTGTCACTGGGTCACTGAATGCTGCTCTGGCAAAGCCTGGTCTAGCAGAACTGGGTCCTGGTTTGTGGGATTAGTTGATGTGAATGTGGAAAATCATGCTGGAGGCACATACCTTGGTGCTTCTCGTGCTGGAGAAGCAGGGAATAACAGGGAATAGCTCTCCTGGCAGCAGCAGGCTGGGATGGAATGCTGGGATGGAGATGAGGTGCCAGCTTTGGGGACGGGGCCATCCAGGGCCAGGGGATGTGACACTGCAGGATGGTCCCTCTCACGGGGTTGTGCTTCAGACAGGCCCAGGCCTGCAGGTTGTTACCTGCATTTACACCTGTGTAGGTTGTAAAGCCACTCCAGATTGTGTGGGGGAAGGAGCAGGGACAATCTTTCTCCTCGTTTTGCCTGGAATAGCTGATGCAGGAGGTCGCTCCAGCCTAGCTGCCCTTACACAGCCAAGTGGGGAGAGCAAGCCCAAAATAGAACCAGCTTCATTAGCACAAAAATCCATGTGTGGAGGGAAGGCTTTGGGGCTGGAGGGTGTAGCTGGCATGGCATGTGTTTCCCCTTGTGGCACAGAGCTGTTTCCAGCCTCTCTCCCATGGGAGGTGGCATTGGGAATATGCCACAGAGCTTTGGGGAAAGTGGGCTGGGCTGCCCCTGTCATCCCACAGGGCTTCAGAAAACTGCAGGTGTGGGGCTGCCTCCCTGGCCTGGCACTGCATCCCTGATGTGGGGCTGCAATTCCTGGCTGGAGACCACACCTGTGGCCTGGAGCTGCCTCGCTGGGATGGGACTGCATCCCTGGCAGCGTTTGCTTTCTCTTGGTAACTGTAGAGGGAGTGAGAGCCCTGTGCAGAGCAGAGCTCAGGAGTCTTTTCCCAGTGCTGGACACGCAGCTCCTGCTCTCCAGCCTAGCCAGCAGGACTTGTTTGCCTGAGGCCAGGTGTGCCTGTCCCAGAGGGGGCTCAGGATGCCAGACATGGGAGCTGGGGCTGGGCAGGCATTTTTCTCTCAGCTCCATCCTTCCTCCTCCCACAGGCTCTGCAGCAGCCGAGTCTCAGAGCACTGTGGAGTCTCAGTGCCTTGCAGCAGGGTTTGCTGCCCAGCAAGCTCCCCGTTCTGTTCAGTGAAACAAAATGGGCTGAGCTCATTTCTGGCTGGTGTTTGTGGCCTGGGAGCCAGGGCTGCACCACCCCCCAGACATATCCCATCTCTAGCTATAACCTGCCCACCTCCACCTTCACTTTCCAGCCCAGGAGTAGCACAAATCTCTGCAGCAAGGCAGAGATTCTCCTTTTTTGCTCTCGGCGCTGGAAGGCAGGTTCCTGGTTTTAGGGATGTAACACATGGTCAAGCTGCAGATGGTCACGTTGTTTCTCACGCTCTTTTCTGGCTACTAAAGGTGCAGATTATTAATAAGAAGCTGGACTTTAGCAGCGTTCAATCCAAGTGTGGCTCAAAGGATAATATCAAACACATCCCGGGCGGAGGCAGTGTGAGTACCTTCACACTTTCAATGCTCTATAATAGTTCTTATTATAAGTGGCATGTTGTGTACACTAAACTGCCAATGCTATCTGCAGCGATCCTGCCATCAGATAGCTATTGGTGACGTGCAATGACTCTTTTCTGGCTACCAAAGGTGCAGATTGTTAATAAGAAGTTGGACTTTAGCAACGTTCAATCCAGGTGTGGCTCAAAGGATAATATCAAACACATCCCGGGCGGAGGCAGTGTGAGTACCTTCACACTTTGAATGCACTGTGATAATCCTGATTTTAGTGGCATGTTGTTACACTAATCACCAATGCTATCTGCAGCCACCCTGCTGTCACATAGCCATTGGGGACGTGCTGTCATTTAACCCCATTAACCCAAAAGACATGGTGAGATGAACAACCCTAACAAGTCCTGGACATGCCTGACATGGACAGAACTAACTGCCCCGTGTCCAAACCATGTCTGTAACAAAACATCCCAGTAACTCCAGGGTTTGGCACTACCTGGAAGGCTGAAAGCCTCGTTGTCTGCGGGTTGGGGGCTCTGGCAGACGGTGATGTAGGAGATGAGTAAATTTATGGGCAGACCCAGTCCTCGCTGCTTAATGTGCTGCTAAATTGGACACGATCCTGCCCAACAGATGAACGTGCAGGTTCCTGCCCATTCCCATCAGGCAAGTGTGATCCATGCAAATATTAAGCTTCTCCTTGCTAACGAGTGTGTCCGGCAGCGCCCATGGAGGCTGAGCCCAAAGTACTGTTGAGTTAATTGATTTGAACGCTGGCATTTCCAGCTGTTCCCAGATAAATACTGGACTCAGCTTTCACTTACTGTGCCAGAAACCTGGAGAAACTCCACAGAGTTTGGTGGACTTACAGCAGTTCCACTGGAGACAGTTTGGGACCAGGAATGACGACGGGCCAAGGCAGACCCTGTGGGGGCCTGGTCTGTGACCTGTCTGAGGGAGCATCTCAGATGTTCCCCATGGATTTTTCATGGGCTTTTCTTGATCTCTGTGGACGCCCTCCCTGAGAAACTGAGCCTTGCAGAGGGCTTGGCACATGCTGGCAGGGACACAGCTGGGTTTGCAGCTTAAATCTGGTGTCATTCTGCAGTTATTTCACGGGCCAGAAGAGCTGCTCTGCGGAGCCCAGACCCCTGTGAAGCAGTTCCATGGTTGTTCCTCTTCTTCACCCCGGAGTCCTGCCCTGGCTGGGCTGCCTGGTGTGTGTTGGTGTTGGCCACAGATCCCCTGTGCTGCGGCCAGTGATGAGCACGGCGTGCTGAGCTCGTCCCTTTGTCCATGGAGAGCTCACACCATGGGCAAGCGGTTGCAGCTGAACTGGGTTAAGAATGATCTGGATTTTTTGGCTGGGGGTTGTGATCCCTCCCCAGACCCTGCCAGCACTGAAAACCCTGTGATCTATGCCCGGCTGCGGGAGCTCTTTGGGAGCAAAGCCCTTGTGCTGACGTGGCTGCACGGGCTGTCCTGGTGCTGAAAGGTGGGATTCCCAGGTCTCTGGCACTGATTTCCCAGGCAAACTACTCTGTTCCCCTTTTCCTGTCTTGCTAAGATGGGGAGGATCCTTCTCTCCTCCCCAGCAGGATGGGAAGGGATAATGGAGTTCTGTCTGTCAAAAAAGGGACTGGAATGATGGCAGAAAGTTCCAACTGCTCACTGTTTGCCCTGGAAATGGGAGACCTTTCAGTCCCAGGTCTCAGTGGTGCCTGAATTGTTCATAGGCCCTTTGGGGTCACAGCTGGGATTAGAAAGGCCCCAGTTGCCCTTTTTGGGTCCCTTTCCTGCCTTCTGACCAAACCTGGCTCCTGTCCTGCCCAGTGCATTAAACGTGTGACCTTTCCCCAACTCTGTCTCCGTGTCTGTGTCCACGATGTGCTCCCAGGCTCTGGGGGTTCATTCCCCCCCTCTCCCTGTCTCCTGTTGAATGTGCCTTTTGGTCTGCGTGAGCATCGGAGACAAGGCAGGTCAGCACAGGGCTCTGTGCTGGTGGGGCCAGACCTGCTCCCTTCCTTTTCCTGGCTCTGTGACGGAGGGGGAGTGTTTCTCAGGGGTGTTGACAATCCAGCACCCAGCTCTGAGAGTGATGTGGCCAACGTGAGAACTGGAGGATGTGCCTTCCCCTGGGGTTTTTGAGTCAGCACGGGGTTCTGGGGTGCGATGGAGAGCAGTGGCTGAGGCGAATCCTTTGTGCTGGTCCAGAGGCTGCAGGGAGGAGTCAGCTCCTCTCCAGAGCTCCCTTTGGTGCTGGCACATCCTTCCCGAGATCTGTGAGGGCGGCACAAATGTGGTGCTGGGGGAAAACACGGAGAGCAGCACATGCTCCCCGCGAAACCCAGGCTGTCCCCGAGAGCCAGAAACACCCCCGAGGTGCTGGTGATCCAGTTCCTCCTGCACAGCCCCACTTACCCCAGCAACAGCTGACCCACAGCCAGGTGTGGGTGCAAAACCAGGGTCTGAGGTAACTTATGGGGTTATGGGGATGTTTCCTCCCCCCCTTGTCTCCTGCTCCTGCCGTAGCTGCCGTGTGTGTGCCGTGGTTGGTTTGCCGTCCCCGGGGGGGGCTCCCAGCCCTCTGCAGCCCTCGGTGTCCCCGGTGTGGTGTTTAACTGCTAACGTAGCGCTAAAACAGCCCCCCCGTTGCTGTCCCTCCTGTGTGTGTGTCCCGTGTCACCCGGTGTCCGTGGGCCGAGGCCACCGGCCCCGCGCGGTCCGTGAGTGGGGCGGGATCCGTGGAGTTGCTGCAGCCCCTTGTTCTGAGACAGTGACGTGACGAGCAGATGAAAAAGAGCAGAGCGTAAATAATCGCGAAATGCTGTTGTGGTTCGATGTTTTATGACATTTTTAATCTCTTACGATGTGATCTCCAGATATTTAGACTTTGCTTTGCTTTTTTTTTTATTATTTTTTTTTTCCTCTTTTTTTTTTTAACCCTTATTTCCGTTACAGCATTTTTCAGAAATGCATATTTTGGTCACTCTTTCGAAAGTTCTGTGCACATTGATCATTTCTGTTCTTTCAGTTTTTGTGGACATAAGCTTTATGTTTTACACCAGAAAAGGTATTTATTTTTTACGTTTTCTCTCTGGTATATCTCCTCCTTTTGGATGATGTGTATGCAAATCTTAATTAATTACCACTCCACTTTCTCTCTCACTTGAGCACTTTAAAATTGCCTCTACTCCCCCCCTCTGTGGAGAGGTGATCTCGTGCATGCTGACATGTTAAGAGGCTACTGCACACGGGCATTAATGATCTCCCATTTCTGATGACGGTTTCTTTTGTATCATTAATCTTCCTGGGGTGTGAGCTGTCCTTTCCCTCCAATCCAGCTCAGGTGCCGCTGTGTGTTGTGCTCCCCCTCCCCAGCCAGTCCATCCTGGCGACGGGCTCATCCCTTTCTCCTCTCTCCTACGGACAGGTTCAAATCGTTTACAAGCCAGTCGACCTGAGCCACGTGACATCCAAATGTGGTTCCCTGGGCAACATCCATCACAAACCAGGTACCCTCTTTGGCCTTGTGCTGGATCCTGGGAGAGCTCAGTGACCTGGCTGCCCACCCACCCCCTGCTCTTTATTGCAGGTGGTGGCCAGGTGGAGGTGAAATCTGAGAAACTGGACTTCAAAGATAAGGTGCAGTCGAAAATCGGGTCCTTAGATAACATCAGCCACGTCCCTGGAGGAGGGAATAAAAAGGTAAAGGGGCGCTGGGTTGGGAACAGGCACCTTCTGCTGTGTCTGGCTGTGAGTGGGTGTGCAAGTGAAGATGGGTGGGGAGTCTGGGCTTGGAGAGGGTCCCAACCCAGGGGGGACATCAGCTGGAGCAGAGTTGTGGCAGAGCTGCCAGGATTCCAGGCTGTGCCCCTTCCTGGCCCGAGGCCGCGCGAGTGATTTGGGGTGTGATTTGGCAGCCTCTGCTGTGGTTTCCTGCTCCTTCTGCCGCCTCTGAAGTTCGTGTTTGTGTCTCAAACCTTTCTCACCAAGGACTGTCGCCGTCAGCAGCTCCTGTGCTCTCTGGGTTAGTGCAGTGGCAGCTCAGGGAGCTGCAGAGGTGTTGGATCCCACTGCAAGTGGAGCATTAAAAGCTCGGCTTTATTTAGAACAGGTGACTTTGCAGCAGGCTGGCCCTTCAGAAGGTGATCTCTCCTTCCTAACCCAGGGCTCTGTGTAGGGAGGGGGTGCTTTAAACTGAAAGACAAAAGCCACTCAGGTCAGGGAAACAATGAGCTTGGGGTGAGGTGTTCCCACCGAGGCTTTGATGGCAACTTCAGTGAGTCCTAGCTGAGTAAAACAACCTCCACAGCCTGGCTTCGAGGCCACCAAGTGCCCAGCAGGCCAGGGAGTGAGGACATCAGGTAAGCACAGAGCTGAGATTCCAGCCTGGGGACAGACAGGGGTCAGTTTTCCCGGGGGGAAAAGAAAAAGCACTTTTATCTCGCTTGTTTTTCCAGCACTTTTTTTTCTCAGTGGGAGAGGAAGGTTCTGTTTCAACTCCTGTGTTTTGGTACTTTATTCTCTGTGCACCCCCAGCTCTCACCTCCAGCTGGCCTCTGACTGCGGGCTTGACTTCCTTACCCTTCTCTCTGCTGCGCATCAGCCTCCCCTGTGCTTCACTGAGCCCTTTGCCACGGCTTTTGTGGTTACAGGAACAATGTTTTCACATCCCCAGCACATTCACTGGGCCATAGTTTGAAGGACTTGTCCTCTGCAGAGGGGATTTCTGTGCGAAGGTGTGACCCAGCAGTGACATCACCACCTCAGCCTTCCTTGCGTGGCAGTTGCCCCTGCCCTGCCTAAACCCACTCCTGGAGGAGGTTGTGGCTGTAACCGAGTTCAGGTGCTGCCTCAGATTGCTTCCCTTCTCCAACCCATTCCTGTCCCCACCAGGATCATCCTGGGGCAGCTCTGAGGTGGAACACGGGGAGGGGACAGGACAAGCTGAGCAGCTCTGGGCGGCTCTGCTGCCCCTTCCCCAGCCTTTCCCGTGACCCCAAGTCCCCTCCTTGCTCTCTGACACACAGATCCAGGCTTGGACTTGCAGTCCACAGCTCCTCCAGCTGAACTCTGGTTCCTGGGCTGCTCTGGCAGTGGGTCTTCTGTGGGGAGCTGGGGTGCTCCATGCTGTGCCTGTGCTCTCCCTTAGCACACCTGGAGAGTTTTCCTGCCCAGCTCCCAAGGCAGCCACTCTTCCTGCTATGAGTCAGTGAATGGCCCTGTTTTTCAGATCTTTTTCTCCACCATTTTCTATTTCTTTCCTATATTTTTTTGTCCTTTTTTTTCCCTTCTGGCTGACATTTATTGGGTTGTGTTTTTTGTTGCTGATGCGTTTTTTGCCCCCCCCCCCCCCC